TATTCAAGAATGTAATATAGCGTATTTCCTATGAATATCCAAAACGGTGAAAAAATCAAATATGATCACTAAGTTGTCATGGTTTATAAAAGCATAATTCCCTCTAAGCATCTTATTCATTTACTAAATTAATGCAAAATAGAAGATAAAGACAACAAAAATATATATATTGCCAAAGATTTTTTTTTAAATCTCGAAGAAGAAGAAGAAGAAGAACAAGAACAAGAAGAACAAGAACAAGAACAAGAACAAGAACAAGAACAAGAACAAGAAGAAGAAGAAGAAGAAGAAGAAGAAGAAGAAGAAGAAGAAGAAGAAGAAGAAGAAGAAGAAGAAGAACAACAACAACAACAACAACAACAACAACAACAACAACAACAGAAAAAGAAGAAAAACAAGAACAAGAACAAGAAGAACAAAAACAAGAACAACACAGAGACAATAACACAAAACAAAACTACAGCTAACCTTCACAGTCTGCTCGCGGATTGTGGGATTGGAGTCGGAAAAGCCCGTGGCCAGTTGGGGGAACACCTGGTCATTCACAGTCTTCGGGTCCATGTACTCCACTAAGCTTTCCATCTGCTGGAGAAGCTTTAGTCTGGTGGCCCGGTCGCTGGACGAGAACAGCTTCACCACCGTTGGGAGGATCTGCCGCTGGTACTCGGCCTCGTCTAGTAACTTACCTATCTGTAGAGGTATCGTGTAAAAACAACTATTAACTTCCCATTCTTTGTATTGCCATTGACATTTAAGATAACTTACAACTAGAATGAATAAGCCTTTCCAGACACTACAATAATATTTTTTTATCCCATCTTATCATTCATATTTCAGATAAATACCACGTTCAAAATCGACCAAATTCGGCGTATGCTATTTATTCACACTTGAGCTCAATCAACTGGCAAATATAAGCCTCACTGTCATACCTTAAAGAGGGGACTTAACACTACTGATCCCACATTGGAAAACTCATGGGCAGATATCACAATCGGCAAAATCTTGTTCGTTGCAATGTAGTTGGGAATGTTTTCGAGCTTTGGAGTCAGATTAGCAAAGAACCTGTAAGGCAAAGGTGAAAATCACTATAGGGTAAAGCATTATTCACTCTCATACAAAACAAGAGTAATCCAACCACTTACTGGTTAAAAAGACTTACCACAGAAAAAAGACAGAGAATCTATATGCAAATATCTTAATATTTCAGAACAATATGATTTCAAAATAACACAGACTCTACAGGTAATTACGTACACATATTCACCTTATATACATATATATTCATCTTATCTAGAAGATATATTTATTCAACTCCCCAACGCTACTTACTTGTGCTTCTCATTTGCGTCCTTTAGATGAATCTCCTCCAAGAAGAGGAGAGTTTCAATAAGATCGTTCCGGAAGAACTGCCCAGGCTTGCGCAGATCCTCGACAACGTCCTTAGGATTTGGTCTCGTTCCAGGGTTTGCCCCGACTAGCTTCGTGTAAGTTTCAATCAGGCTCTTTGGCAACTGCAGAAAAGACACACTTAATAATTAAGTGGATCAGGCACAGAACCTGCTAAATAGGTCATTCTTAGGACGGCTAAATGAGTGTTCTTATAGAACCTAAGAAAGTCAGTTACAAAAGTTTTTGTTTTTTTTATGAAAATGGTTCTACAATAAGTGTCTATGATAACTTTCCTACTGAAATAGCTAAAAATATCAGACATCACAAACAGGTTGACATAGGTATGCAATGAACTTGAATTACATCAGCAAATTACCTAATTTTACATCACTATAAAACCTAACAATGAATATCTACTGTATTTTGAAATCTTTAACTGCTCTGGAAAAAAAAAGAGGGAGGGAGGGGGAGAGAGACATGGTGGGGGAGAGACAGGGAGAGGGAGAGAGAGAGAGAGAGAGAGAGAGAGAGAGAGAGAGAGAGAGAGAGAGAGAGAGAGAGAGAGAGAGAGAGAGAGAGAGAGAGAGAGAGAGAGAGAGAGAAACAAAGAAAGAAATAAAGAAAGAAATAAAGAAAGAAAGAAAGAAGCAAAGAAAGAAAGAAAGAAAGAAAGAAAGAAAAAGAAAGAACTTCTTCCATATCAAAATATCACAATCACGAGATACAATAATGTCAAAGCACAACCGGAATGCTTACCTTCTGGGTGTTTTTGAGAGAAAAAGATTCGTCTAGAAGCCCATTGAACACTTCCCAGATCAGGCATCCGAGCCCCCACATATCAGCTGCCCTAAAGAGTAGCAAAAAATACATAATCAATAAACATGTAAACACAAAGGCACAACTGGGCATTAATTACCAATTCTATTTCCTTTTCTAAGTCGCCATTCCTAATCTCTGTACTGGAAATTGTAGTTCAAATTTCCAAAGGCACAAATTATTATTTTTATGATCTAAGAAACAATGCTTTCACTGAATGTGTGCAACAAACCACCCTGCAAATTCTATTTCACTGCTTAGCAGATACCCCAAGAATATATATCAATTTTATCATTATGTTTTCATCAACAAATAGGCTTTAAGATATATCAATTTCTGACCGAATTTCTGTCAGCAACCAAAACTGAATCTGATGAATATTATCAGGGAAATGTGGTTGATTTAACAATTTCCACTTTAAAGGTTCTCCTTACATTTTTTCTGCTATTCTTCTCTTGGTATCTCTCAGATATCTAATACTGATGTTATCTTTATAAACATATGATGAGAACTGAATGTAAAGTTTCCTTCTTCCAAAATCAGTCTACAAGTGTAAACATACAAAACAACAAAATAAAACAAAATTACTTCCACTCTCTGCACAATATTCTCATGGACAATAATAATTCATATCAGCAAGCACTCTTACCACATGGTCGTTGTTCTCATTTTAGACGGATTCATCTTCTCTGGCGGATTATAAATCTCAAGCTCTGGCAGCACTTTGACAGGAAACATGGAGCTGTCTGAGCTGGCATACTCTACCCCCCCAAGCTTCCATTCTCCACCTGGAGTCACAAAGACACTGCTTCCACATACATTATAGTGTATCAGTTTTCCGTCATTGTTCAGAAAGCTGAGGCCTTTCTGAAGGGGAAAAATCAATTTTGAATTATGTTTATCATAAAACCTGATCCTAATATCATTTACAAAGCTGATTTTTTGGGTGAAGAGGCAAATGGCTAAATTAATGTTCAACCTACAACCATCACAAAAAATTTTAAGGTGAAATTAGGGAAAGATCCAAGATAAAGTTTTCCCTTTTTTTTTTTCTTGGCAGACAATAATATTCACATTATGAAAAGGTGTTTCAATCTTATAGGACACTTACAAGAAATCATAATTACAATAACAAACAAATGACCTAATCAAGCAGGAACAATGCAGGAAAAATACATACTGTTACTTGCAGGAGCCCCCAGGACACAGCACTGGTGCGATGTGATGGGCTGAGGGCACTGTCTTTCAACCACGTCAGGAGTGGCGTCACTGGCTCAGTCACCAAGTACACCAATTTGTCATTCTAAAGCAAAAAAAGAGTACATTAGAACCCAATACTGCACTTAACCTTCAACTGAGCATCAAATCATTTTATTTTCTCACTTTCCTTTATCAATTCTCTCAATACTCTGTTGAAGCTTAACGAACTGTAATAACGAGTCTGTAAAAATGCCAACATCGACACGTCCACCTTACCTCAAGACTATCGACGTAAGTGAGTATACATGGGTGACGGAGAGTTTTCAACCTCTTTACGGCCGCTTTTGCTATATCGAGTTGTGCTGAAGTGCCCTCACATATAAATACACTCACGTCATCTCCATTTTGCTGCAACATCAAAAGAATCATGAGTGCACATTCTCAAATGCAATGATTTCATAGGACTATCTCATCTTTGTATAAAACTCATTCATGTAGTTTCTCTGTATCATACTACCACAGTATTATTATATAACAATTTTACATCAATTTTGCTCAATCACTCCGTGTATATAATTTTATAAAATATTCTACTTATAAATATGTAATTATATAATGAAAATGGTAATCAAAGCCATTCTTTCGTCATATGAAAACCTAAGGAGAAAAAAAAAAAATTCAAGCCATTTTTTTTCCTATATATATTTGGCAACAGACTATTGTTGTTATATAACTTATTTCATATATAACTCTACGACTCATATATACAATTCTGTATATATCCCAAACATACATAAGAAACAATAGAATAAAATAATAGTTATCACTGAATAACATCTCTCTTCATATCAAACCTAATGAAATAAATAAAGTTATCATATATATTACTTTAAAATATAAGATTAGTATACTAAAACTAATACAAATCATTGCCTACTAGAAAATGAACATAAATACACAGATAAAAAGAAGCCCCTATAAGAGGACCAAGGCCCACAGAATCAATGACAAAATACAGCTGTGAAGTTTCTGGTGAGATGAAGTAGCAAAGCACTTTAACATATTACAAATAATACTTTATGTGATTTCTATACTGCCTCACCATCTAAAATCTCCTAATCAAAGGGTTATATCAAAGTTTCCTAGGCTCCAGCAATGTCAACCAGAAGCACCAAGACAGCGGCATATCATCAAAGAGTAACTACAGCTTCTACGCTTATGGTACCCTGGCTAACACAAGTAAACGTCCTTTGTCTATATTCTAACAAGATAGAGCTTAGACCGATTCATAACATGAGAATAAATTGCCAGGATGGTTCACAATTTTATACCAGATTATACTTGTTTTGTTGAGCTTTAAGAGTGGCACAGTAGCCTCAATAATCCCTTGCCATATCGCTGTTCTAATCAACACCGATATCATCCCTATAATCGGATACCATGATATCAGTACCATAAGCCATCAAATAAAATCCATCGATACCTACTTCAATAATATCAGAACTGGGTGGCTTTTGGTCAGAATCACCACAAACTCTCGGAAATTCAGAACATCCTCTGTTCCCCTTCAACCTGTACGTCTCCGTATTAAGCCCTTATCACCTCACCAATGGTACATAAAAGTAAAGATTATTGCAAAACAAGGAAAAAACAATGAAATACAAGAAGAAACACAAAGAAAATGAGAGCACATAGTTAACTTCTTTAAAATATATCTAACAAAGAGATATTAACCCTACTGACCTTGACTATAACCCTTGACAGCACCCCTTGACAGTTCCCCTTGACAGCGCCCTTTGACAGCACCCCTTGACAGCGCCCTTTGACACCACCCCATGACAGCGCCCTTTGACAGCACCCCTTGACAGCGCCCTTTGACAGTTCCCCTTGACAGCGCCCTTTGACAATACCCCTTGACAGCGCCCCTTGACAGCACCCCATGACAGTGTCAGTCAATCCCCCCACCTTTTTCTTCCCGCGGTGCATCCTCCACACCGCCCTCGCGTGCTCCACCGTCTCTCCGATCTCATAGCCAAAGGAGCTCGTAGGATCCCGGGAGAATAAGGACCACATCCTCGCCTCGCTGCTCCGACCAGACGCAAAATCCTCGGGGGGGAAGGGAAATCGAGGTGTGTGTTTTCCCTCGCGTGAATCTCCTCGGGCCTTCGAGTCTCTGGCGTTGAGGTTGTTTTGCTGCCAACACACTCACAACACGGGGAGGCTCGGCGGCTAGCTCGGCCCTCTTCGCTCGGGGCTAGTTAGGTGGGATTTGCTTGGTTTTGCTTGATTTTTAGGGGGTTGGTGACTTTTTATTTGAACTTTGGTTGGTTTTATTGCGAGTAGAGGATGATCGTTTGTTTAAATCAGTGGAAATTGATCTTTCCTATTGTGATGGATGTGGCAAAGCGAGTCTAACGGCGATCAGCTGTCAGAGGTCAAAGAAAACGGAATTTATAATTTTAGGGGAGACCCTTTCATCCTTCTGTGACTTGCTTATGAAATTGATACGTAACACATGTCCATTTGGTTTGTTTGTTTATTTGCTTGCGCGCGCGTGTGTGTGTATGTGTGTGTGTGTGTGTGTGTGTGTGTGTGTGTGTGTGTGTGTGTGTGTGTGTGTGTGTGTGTGTGTGTGTGTGTGTGTGTGTGTGTGTGTGTGTGTGTATGTGTGTATGTGTGTATGTGTGTATGTGTGTATGTGTGTATGTGTGTATGTGTGTATGTGTATGTGTATGTGTATGTGTGTGTGTGACAATAGAAATAAATGCCATATATTATGAAAAGGGACAGGGACAGGGAAAGAGAGAGAGAGAGAGAGAGAGAGAGAGAAAGAGAAAGAGAAAGAGAAAGAGAAAGAGAAAGAGAAAGAGAAAGAGAAAGAGAAAGAGAAAGAGAAAGAGAAAGAGAAAGAGAAAGAGAAAGAGAAAGAGAGAGAGAGAGAGAGAGAGACAGAGACAGAGACAGAGACAGAGACAGAGACAGAGACAGAGACAGAGACAGAGACAGAGACAGAGACAGAGACAGAGACAGAGACAGAGACAGAGACAGAGACAGGGACAGGGACAGGGACAGGGACAGGGAAAGAGAGAGAGAGAGACAGGGACAGAGACAGAGACAGAGACAGAGACAGAGACAGAGACAGAGACAGAGACAGAGACAGGGACAGGGACAGGGACAGGGACAGGGAAAGAGAAAGAGAAAGAGAAAGAGAAAGAGAAAGAGAAAGAGAAAGAGAAAGAGAAAGAGAAAGAGAAAGAGAAAGAGAAAGAGAAAGAGAAAGAGAAAGAGAAAGAGAAAGAGAAAGAGAAAGAGAAAGAGAGAGAGAGAGAGAGAGAGAGAAGAGACAGAGACAGAGACAGAGACAGAGACAGAGACAGAGACAGAGACAGAGACAGAGACAGAGACAGAGACAGAGACAGAGACAGAGACAGAGACAGGGACAGGGACAGGGACAGGGAAAGAGAGAGAGAGAGACAGGGACAGAGACAGAGACAGAGACAGAGACAGAGACAGGGACAGGGACAGGGACAGGGACAGGGACAGGGACAGGGACAGCGTCAAAGACAAAGATAAAGATGTATGAAGATAAAGATGAGATAGAGTCATCCAAGTTTAGAGACTAGTATCCATCTGCTCTCCTGCAGTTATACTTGAGAACTTTACTTCCAAATATTGCAAGGTTTCATAATTGCTATTGTCCTTACTGTCATGAAAAGGAGTTGTAATGGCAAATATTCTTGATTCATTTCCCTGCAATGCTCTCATTATTTCATTTCCTCCTTTATTTCCAATGTCATTACTTTTATTATTGCTGCTGATCATGTATCTGTCTGGTACCCCTATTTTCCAAAACTGAGTTCCGGTCAAACTTGATATATTTGTATTTTCTATTTCTTTTCACATTCCTTTTGGTTGCCTTAAAGTCGAATCTTCTCACTGACCAATTGCCTTCCATAATCATATTTATTATTGTCATGACAGTTATTGCAAACCTCACTCTTCCCTTCATATTTCTGTAACTTCCTTGTTTTTATCTACATTATTTTTCTAAAGTTAGAGTGAGGAATTTGTCTTCTCTTCTCTTTGCTTGACCAAAAGTAAGTTCATATTTTTAATCATTACAGTGAAATCTAAAGACAATGATTAAATTGAAGTCTAATTCTTTTCTTAATGTAATACTAATTTCATATGCTTTCTCCTTCCATACGTACAGTATTTGTATTGTGTTAATGCACTATTTCTTTCAACAGTAAAAGAAGTCTGTCCACTAATAAGAAAAAAGCTATTTAAATAATCCTATATCCACTAAATCTTGTAATGTCTAAAGCCATTTCCGTATTCTAAAATGTCATACAAAATGTCATACAAAAGTAACAACTTTTGTAGGACAAAGACAGTGCTATTTTGGGAATAACGTTTAATATTATTCATTTTCTTACCAACAGCTTAAACATATATAGTACAAAGGTTATTAAAACAAAATGTAAGCAGTATCAACATCATATTTTAATAATAATATAGATGTATACAAATAAATTTATGTTTACAATGACTGACAATATTCTCTCATATGCATACATATATGTATATATATATATATATATTTATTATGAATAACTACAAACTGTCTAAAGAAAGGAATAGTAAGAATCTCACTTTTTTAAAAACAATAGATTAAGTAAAGCATTAAAGATACAGCTGAACAGACCCTTTTCATGGATTAAAAATGGGCTATAAAATCACTGTTGCCTCTATAATATGCATACACATATATATTTCAAATTATGTGGACAGATACCATAGCTCATTATAATCCATTTGCTTATATACAAACAACAAGGCCTGAACAGCTTAGACTTATTAGAGAATACCAGAAATTTGTATCTTCTTGGTACTAACAGTTTCATATTCCTGAGTAGAAAATCTTACCTTTCTGTGAGTAGACAATTTCTTTGCTATTTACTTCAACCAAAATTCTCGTCTCCATTGTGAATACTGAAGGTTATTTGATGCATTTTGCTCTTGTGAAGAAACTGGGTCAGATTGTATCTAACAATATTACTGGGGGAATGGTTTTAAATATAATTCGTTCTTTATGTTTACTTCTGAACAGAATTAAATCCTGTAAAAACTTATCTATAAGTTTGAAAATGCATTAGACTAGCTTCATAGTATCACTAAGTCTGTTGTATTGTATAATCTGGAATTTCACCAAACAGTTTCTTGAAGTGTTCTACATACATATCACAGTGTTCCCCTAGAAAATAAACCAAAAATATATATTAGAATAAATCAAGGGTTATGAAAGAGATAATATCATTACCAATAGACAGCTTTTTCAAAGGTATAATATATAACAATCAAATGTAAATGTGTACTTTATAAAATATGATAAGTTTAACATAGACAATACAAAATTCCTCATAAACAGCATCTAAACTGCAATGTGCACAACCTATACATTATGCAAAATACAGAATTGCAAAGAATACCTCCACAGACTCTACTTTTGTGATATTTCTCAACCCTACCTTTGGCAAAAGCTGAACTTCCACGTAGCTTTGCATTCCGGAGCCCAAAGAAAGTGAAAGTGGAGTAGAAAACATCTGAGTCACCGCAGATCATGGCAGCTTCGAGGAATTTCCGAGCAGAGACAGTTTCCGCCAGGCCAACACTTCGGGCATATCTATCAAATGGAGGAGAGAAGAAAAGAATTGCATAAGAATATACAAATCCCCGACACATACATTTCCAGCCCACTTAGAACCCCCCCTTTAAGTAATTACCATTCTAAGAATATAATAAATCTAACCTGAGGATGTATACAGAGTTGTGAAATACAGAATTTTAAAACCGCATACAGGAAACACGAAACTGACCTCAGAGCTGGAATAACCTGGTGCTGAGAAAGTAGGACTTCTATAATCTCGTCGTGAGCTGTGTTTAAGCGGCAGAGCATGTCAAGGCTGAGTTGTTTGCCGGCGGAGTAAACACTCACAAGAGACAAAAGTAAACAGGCCTGGAAAATTAGGAGACTAACCTGAAATTACACCTTTCAACAGTGTAGGCATGGAGTATTTATAAATGATACAATTAAAATCCCTGTTTTCCTTATTTAAAAAGATCACCAGAGAGGAAAGTACACTCATAATGGTTCAAACTATTAAAAATTAGCAAATAATATTCACAGAGAATATACAAACAACATATCTCTAGCTATGAGTTGCAAAATCAGTTTGTGTTAACAAAGCTAGAAGTGTCTTTCTAATAAAAAAAGAGAAAAAGAATATTTCACCCATGATATATAAAAGGACACATTACTGGATTCTTCCCCACTGAGCAAATCAAGAAATCTTATCTTCTCAACCAAATTTCTGCCAACAGATCAAAACAATAAAATTATACGAAAAAACAAAGACAGAACCAACACACCAGGGGCTTTGAATCGGCCAAAACATGATACTGAAGGAGTTGATGGAGCTGGTAAAACTGCCTGGATCTGACGAGCGCATTTATAACCAGCTCGTAAAGGAAATGCTGCACAGTGACTCCCACGGCGCCCAGTGACCGGATGTACTCTATAACCACACCGACGACCAGTTTGGAGGACACGGAAGGAGGGCTGGTGCCTGCACATAAACCCAAAGAGGTAAATTAGTTAAACTTAAATGAAAAAAAATATATATATCCATAGCAAAATATGCACCTAATCATTGATGAATATGTATCCATATATACATCCATCCATCTATCTATCTCAATCAAACAATCTGTCAATCAAACAATCAATCAATCAATCTATCTATCAACCAATCAACAACCAACCAACTAATCTATACATCCATCTTTAGAAGTCTTGCCCTCTTACCTTCTCCTCCCTCCTTTAATCTGGTCTCCCCTTTCTCTGCCTCCTCCATGAGTGGGGCGAGGACGCTGCTGTATATATCCGCCTGCTCAATAACCACACCCTTGATCTCGGGAGCCGCAGCTGACGAGGCCGGAGCACTCACGGATTCTCCCATCTTAGAAAAACAAGGAACTTCTGTGTCATCTTTACTCACTTGGTGCATGGTTTAGATGTAGATAAATCCAATCTTTTTTTTAAATCACAAATTTCTATATGAAAATAAACAATGTAATTGAATTAAACAAAAGACATGAAGAGCATTCAGTACAATTCAAATAAAATACAAGCAATTACTGAAATTATTCAACCTCTGATTATGGACAAAAGATCAAAAAAAGAAAAAATCTGTAACCCAAAGGACATTTGTTCAAAAGGAGGAAAATGACTCCCTACCTGAGACTGGAGGATGGAATTTAAGTGCTGTCGATAAGCTGCGTTGATTTTGTCAAATATCTGTGCCAATGCCCCTAACTGCCCAGTCTCCACTGCCTCCCGTACAACTGATAGTACCAGCGGCTTTGCTGTTGACAAATAGAAACAGCAATTTCAAAATAGTATATGAAAATTTACACTTTAATATAAAAAACATTTCAATCCACAAAACAGAAATATATACTCATACAACAATTCATATTTACATTCACCTGATTATGTGAATGACCAAATTTACACCTTTATAACCTGAAAGCAATTTACTAAACTGCAGTGACCCCTTACCTTGCTGCCTCCTAAGTAATGAGTCGACTAACTGGCTCTTGTCTTCCATGACCTTTGCTAGACAGTCTAGCCGAAGCTGCAGGTGCCACATGCATCCCAGGCGAGCATCTATCACAATGTCTGGCTGTTGAGTAATGATGAAGAAGTAGATTGTGAGTACTGAGTTGTATTCATAGCAATGCAAAGTCAAATCTAACTATTCCAATTTGCCACTTTCATAAATTCATGAAGGGACAACAAAACACACACACCTAAAAAAATAATAATAATAAAATAATAATAATAATAATAATAATAATAATAATAATAATAATAACAATAATAATAACAATAATAATAATAACAACAATAATAACACTAATAGTTACATTTATTATTACCTGAACACACATTCCTAAAAAAATTAAAAATTACTACTCATATTACCTGAAAGACAACCCAGGTCGGTGCATAGAGTTCGCACGGTACTAATATAGGCTGGGCGGTGGTTGACGGGACGGCACTCGGCTCCTCGAGAGAGAATGGCTGGACTGAACGAGGGACTGTGATAGGGTACACTGAAGTCACACCTCCACTCACTTCACCACCAAGTTGAATGTCAAACAGAAGGGATGTCTGTTGGCAGTTTAGACAGACAATTATGAAATACAGTCACATAGTAGGTTTGTCTAAATTATTTTGTTTTTGTCATTTCCCAGATGGGAAGGAAGTGCAGATACATGTATGGCAAGTAATAACATTACTGAAAATTACTGTCATCTTTTAAAATCTTACAATGTAGATTTTGATCTGTAGATTCCAAAAAATACAACTCCCCTTCTGTGCAAAGTGAATCAGAGCAGATAAAAGTGATTGTTTAATATACTAGTGCTCTACATCTGCATCACATCAAAGAATGAAGCTAATAAACATTTTTGCATATGCTAAATCTTGGCTGTGTACCTTACCTTTGAGGCCTGGTGATGAACGATGATCAAACTATCAACAATGTTAACAGCAAAACGTCCTGTAAGCTCTAAACGGCAGATGTGGCTTCGTCTAAACACTCCATCTCTGCAAATGATGTATTTTTCAGGTGATATGACCCACAAGCTTTCATCCTATATCTTATTGTTTTAATACTTGTTTTAAAAAAATATATCAATATAGTCTACCCTCTCCTAATCCTAGTATAAATGGATAAAAAATGCATTCTGATTTTTTATCAATACTTCATACATTACTCAAAATATATAAACATAAATAATACTTACTTATTCTGACTATATACATCAAGGTGCGCTGCAATGGTAGGTGTGGACGGATGACGCAGCACACAGATTGACACAGCGCCGTAAATGACACCAACGCAGACATCCCGTTCACCTAGGGTAACCCCCTGCGAGTGTGTACTGCTTCCGCTACTCACCTCCACTGGAAACGGTACAATTTAGGAAAATAGAATCCCAAAGCAAAAAAAAAAGACTAATAACAAATCATACGAATTTTAAAAATACACACATAGAACAAGAAGCACTTTGTTAATCCATCATATCAGAAAAAAAAAAAATTAATACAAACCACTCCCACGCCTAAAACAAAACAAAACTCCCACAACCATCCACACTAACCCTCAAACTTTGCCAACTTGTTCGACTGTCCGGGCTTGAAAGTGAAAGGTTGCAGCGTAGAGGTGGTAGGTGCAGCCCCAATGCAGAGCAACAACAGGCAACACTCGGTGCTCCAGACGAACCATGAGCAAGGAATGTTGTAACTCCTAATGTGTCGAACAGCAACTCGGTCTTTTGCTACCTGCGGAATAGTCTAGAAAAACATTCGTTGCAAATGTATAATGGTTCCTAAAAACCATATCTAATAATAGGCACAAAATTATAAGACAAACAAATAAATAAACTAAATTAATCTAAAAAAACAACTAGATAGAGAGAGAAAGAGGGAAAGAGAGAAAGAGAGAGAGAGAGAGTGACAGAAAGAGAAAGAGAGAGAGAGTGACAGAAAGAGAGAGAGAGAGAGAGTGACAGAAAGAGAGAGAGAGAGAGAGTGACAGAAAGAGAGAGAGAGAAAGAGAGAGAGAGAGAGAGAGAGAGAGAGAGAGAGAGAGAGAGAGAGAGAGAGAGAGAGAGAGAGAGAGAGAGAGAGAGAGAGAGAGAGAGAGTGACAGAGAGAGAGAGAGAGAGAGAGAGAGAGAGAGAGAGAGAGAGAGTGAGAGTGAGAGTGAGAGTGAGAGTGAGAGAGAGAGAGAGAGAGAGAGAGAGAGAGAGGAGAGAGAGAGAGAGAGAGAGAGAAGAGAGAGAGAGAGAGAGAGAGAGAGAGAGAGAGAGAGAGAGAGAGAGAGAGAGAGAGAGAGAGAGAGAGAGAGAGAGAGAGAGAGAGAGAGAGAGAGAAAGAGACAGAGAGAGAGAGAGACAGAGAGAGAGAGAGACAGAGAGAGAGAGAGACAGAGAGAGAGAGAGAGTGACAGAGAGACAGAGAGAGTGACAGAGAGACAGAGAGAGTGACAGAGAGACAGAGAGAGTGACAGAGAGGGAGAGAGAGAGTGACAGAGAGGGAGAGAGAGAGCGACAGAGAGGGAGAGAGAGAGTGACAGAGAGGGAGAGAGAGAGTGACAGAGAGGGAGAGAGAGAGTGACAGAGAGGGAGAGAGAGAGTGACAGAGAGAGGGAGAGAGAGAGTGACAGAGAGAGAGAGAGAGTGACAAAGAGAAAGAGAGAGAGAGAGTGACAAAGAGAAAGAGAGAGAGAGAGTGACAAAGAGAAAGAGAGAGAGAGAGAGAGAGAGAGAGAGAGAGAGAGAGAGAGAGAGAGAGAGAGAGAGAGAGAGAGAGAGAGAGAGAGAGAGAGAAGAGAGAGAGAGAGAGAGAGAGAGAGAGAGAGAGAGAGAGAGAGAGAGAGAGAGAGAGAGAGAGAGAGAGAGAGAGAGAGAGAGAGAGAGAGAGAGAGAAAGAGACTATGACAGAGAAAAAGAGAGAAAGAGACAGAGACAGGGAGAGAAAGACAAAGAGAGACAGACAGTGACAGACAGACAGTGAGAGAGAGTGAGTAATACTAAGAGAAGAGTAAGATTAAGAGAGAGAAAGAAAGGAAAAATATTCACTCTTGTATGTGTCTTTGTGCCAAAAAGAATGATATCTGGCTATGTTGTGCATGACTTTGATTTCTCTTTCTGCGGGCCATACATCACAGGAGGGCATGCGCATCTAAACACGTTCTCAGACCAGGTATGTATTGTTATAAGACCCTTGGATGTGCATGCCCTTATATTTTCCAATTTTGCATGCAATCCAAGCGCAGAAAGCTCGGTGAAGAAGCGATCAAGCAGAAAAAGGAAATTTGTGCTTGGCTTAAAATACAAATAGTTGTCACACATTCATATGTATCTATTTATGTAAATATTTATATATATGTACATTTATAAAGACATACACAAGTATATAGATACACACATGCTATACATACATATGGATATATGCATATTCGTACATATACACTTGTGTGGGGGGGGGGGGGGTGAGGAGTGGGGGGATGCATGTGTGTGTGAGAAGAAAAAGCACAGACCTAATAAATTACATTGGGATATAGGAAAAAGTCCTCTATTCAAATGGAATGATTTTTCAAAATTAAATCAGTAACCTCTTACTAAATGAGCAATAACCACTAATAACAGCTTCAATTGCATTCCAATACAACAGTAAAATATAAAATGTACGTTATGGACCTCATGTAACTAAGCTTACATCTAACCTGTGCAATAAATCATACTCTAGAAAGTGACTTGGCAGTGTAGGAGAGTTGAGAAGTTACATCACAGGACACATGAAAAGCCATCAGAAAGGGGAGCATTTGATGCTGTATGCACCCAGAAAACACAAATCAGCACCATATTATTAACTGCATAACACAGAGGCAGACGCAAACAGAATTCATTTTTCTCTTTGCCAAATCCATCATCTGACACAACATTCTCAAGAAG